ACTGCACTATGATGTTTGTGACTTTGGCTGAAGAGTTTAGAACTCCAAACTAAGGGTGGTTTGGGTATGACTTATTTAGTGGCTTATTGGCTTTTTACGAAAATACGTGCAGAAAAGTAGAGAACAGATTTGATAACTTGTAGTAAATAAGCCAATAAGCAGCTTATTTAGGTGGTACCCAAAATAGTTGAGACTTCCTGGCTGTTGGAAATTGGAATATGTTTTGAGCTTCCCCTTGCACTGCTATTTTTGGGGTCCTTTCCATCTGTCTGTGATAGATGGACAGAAGAAAGCTTTTCGTGATGTCTCTTCATATCCACGTTAAAGATCATTACTGTCCTATTGTGGGTTCTTGGTGTTTACAACTTCTTTGATATCACTGTTAAACTGGGTTCATGTGGTTGACCCCTGAAACACAAATAGGGATTATTTACATCGTTTGTTTTTCTGCTAAGTTGTGGCTTTTGAAAATACAGTTCCCTAGTCGTGATACTTAATAGAAAGGGGATTTTTTTTTTCTCCAAATATTGTATCCAGATTCTGGGTGTAATCTGTAGAGTCAAGGATCACAAATCCATGATTCAGTTATTTCAATTTAGATTAATCAAAACCTTCCTTTGAACTCAGGTTCACCCAGTTATCTTAAAAGAAATGTTTAGTGATGAAACTCTGACTAAGATATTAGTTTTTTTCTTATGGATGTCCACTGTTGAGTGGCTTGAGCCTAATAATTTTCTTTATACCATGTACATAAGCTAAGCTAAAACTCTAAAAAGGGGCTAAATTTCTATAGGTCTTATTAAAACACAATGTTACTTGTATTTCCATTTGTTTGAACCTACTTGAGCACTGTATTTAATTTTAACTCTATAGCATCATTTTTGCAGCGATTCAAACTCCATCCACAGACATCACAAAAACATTTGAAACTTCAGCCTCAATAAACCTAAGACCTCCACCTATTGATCGTCACAAATCATTTGATGAAGATGATTTCTCAAGGAAACCCATTGTTCCCAAGAAAGTCCATACACCTCCAGTAAATGCTATATCATATTCAATAGCAGACTTGCAGATGGCTACAGACAGCTTTAGTGTTGAAACTCTTGACGGCGAGGGGTCCATTGGATGTGTTTATCGAGCTCAGTTTGATGACGGAAATGTACTCTCTTGAGCTTAATGCTTACACTTTCTTAATTTGTGGGTGAATAGTATATTTATTTATGACAGATAATTATGTTCCTGCAACATGGCAAATTTGAAGTAGGGAAGAGTGTTTAGTTGTAGGGATCAGCATTCATTAAGAAACATCTATCTCAAACATGCACATGCTTTGCTTGTACTACTTGAATTGTTAATTTTGAAGGCTAAGAGGAGAAAAAAAGAAAAATAAATTCACCAGAGTGGCTTCCATAATAGTATACAATGCCCCTTCCCTTATTTCTTTATTGTCCACAATTCCCGATGGGCATCTGAACAAAAACAGTTTGAATGAACCATTTTGTTGGGTTTCTTTGAGCTTTCCTCATTTTTCACCCAGTGGTCAAATCATTTGTTTAATGATTTCACCTTTTATGTCTTTTGATGATATTACAGGTTCTTGCTGTGAAGAAAATAAATTCATCTGCTCTTCCAAATCACTTGTCTGAAGATTTTATGGATATAGTTTCAGACGTATCCTGGTTGCGGCATCCAAATATAACAGAGCTTGTTGGTTATTGTTCAGAGCATGGACAGCACCTGCTGGTATATGAGTTCCATAAAAATGGTTCTCTTTATGACTTCCTCCATCTCTCAGATGAATTTAGCAAGCCATTGACCTGGAACACACGTGTCAAGATTGCTTTAGGGACTGCACGTGCACTAGAGTAAGTTGAAAAAGAGATTGGAGAGCAATTAACATAGGAATGCTCTCTTAACTTGTTCTATTCCCACATTGAGATATTAGAACATAGTTTTGTTCCATTTAAAGAGCCACCAAAGAGGTTAATATAGTCGGGCTTGGTAACGCGAGCCTATGACTCAAGTGAGGGTATTAATGTGGTTGGAAGTTGGTCTGGTCCAATAAGCTGTCCCTGATGGGTTATTTGCTGGCCCGCCCATTCCGAGTGTTATTTAGATAAAAGAAAAAACTCTTTAAAATTGCATTTGAATTGGAAAAATTAAAATAAGAATTTGAGGCTAAGATAAACAAAAATTATAAGAAACTATATATAGATACTGCACTGAAATTTATAAGAAGGGACGAGAGAGAGAACTGGGCATCGTTCAAAAAAAAAAAGAAAAAAAGAGCAAACTGGACAACCCATCAATGATCTTCTCAAATGGGCACTTGGCATGGTGAACACAATAATTGCTAACACATTCAAGAAAAATCCTTTTCACAAATCAATAAAATAACTGCTTTATATATTCTCATAAAAAAAAAAAATAGTGATGGTTTAATTGATATTGAGAAATCTATATGTGAATAAATAATTGTGAGAAATCTATTTAAGAATTTTTGAAAAGTTTTTTTGTAAAGTGGTGTAATTTAAAATTTTTGATTTGTTTATTATTTGGGTGTATCTAGAAGGATAATTTAGGAAAAACATAGGATGTATTGAGAATAAAATATAACCTTAAATAATTTAATAGGATGCATTGATAATTAAACGTACTTAATGATTTTTTTGGGTGGAAATAGAATCCACCACTCTTTTGTTTTTCTTACCCTCGGGCCCAATATTTGATTTACATTTTCCCATTCTTGGGCCCAATAATATCTGGTGGCTTCCCCTTCTTGGTGGGCCCAATAATATATGGTGGCCTGTCTCCCTCACCAAAAGCCATTTTTTTTTTAATTTAACTTTTTACATTTTTTTATGGCCCAACTCCCTAAATGCATTATTACTTTTCCTAATTATGAAAAAAATGTAGACTCTGTTTGGTTTGATTTTCTTACTTTTAGAAATATTTTTTAAAATTTAAAAATTAATTTGGTAAAAAAAAAAATTGTTTTAATTATTTTATATAATTTTATTAATTGATATGACATAAATAATTTTTAAAATTCAAAAAAAAAATTCATATTTATTTTCGTTAAACTATATATATTTTTAATTTTGAAGATAGTTTCATAAAAACCAAACAAACATGTGTCCAAACAACAAAAGATAATTTGCTTTTCAAAATATTAGCTTGGAAAACAAACTCTTCTTTGATCTTCCCTAAAGGAAACTTTTTTGATCATCCATCTTATGCTTCTTTGATTATTATTATGACTTATTTTAAATATATAAATAAAAAAGAAGAAGAAATCATTCATCCTTGGGACCCTTGCACTACATTTCTTTTTTTGGGTGAATAAATCATAAATAAATATAAACACAAATACAAGGGGCATGCCCCCTGCCCTAACCTCAACTATATAAGCAAGAACAACCAACCTAAAAACAGCCTAAAAAGGCATGCCAAACAGAGAACAAGTTGATACAAAAGCAACTTCAACTAACAAAACTAAGATATATATATTACCTGGAAAATCCAAACCTACTAACTGCATAAATAAAGATATACCAAACAATTAAATAACTTAGAATTATAACACGGGATTGGCCTCGTTCGGCAAATGACTTTTTTAGTCAAAAAGTCAAAAAGTTACTAAAAAGACCAAAAAGCCAACAACCTATACCAAAAAGTTAAAGATTCTTTTTTCTCTCTACTTTTTGCACATCTTTTCGTAAAAAACCAAAAAGTCATCCCAAACATACTAGTTTTTTTTACATCACATTTTAGCCAAAAAGTCAAAAAGTTACTAAAAAAGTCTGTTCCCAAACGAGGCCTGCTCCAAAACAGATTGTGATTCCTTGTATATGTTCAGGCTCCCTATACAAACAGTATGTGGACCATGAACACTTTCCATAAGCTCACAAATCTGATACAAAAAAAGAGACAAAAAAGAGCCATCCCTTACACAACCCGTAAGGGTAGGCCAACAAAAGATCTTCAAGACATCCACCCAAACAACAGTACCATAGTATAATGAATTCAATAGATATATACAATTAAAATAAAAGCTTTCTTCACACTCGAGGCGCCTAAAACAGCCATCCCTCCTTGCTACCAGCTTCCAGAATTTAGCAGACCCTGCCCAAGATAGATAGATACATGGGTTCCAGAAGTTCCAGCTATACAACAGCAGGTAATACACAACAGCTGTTGTATGATTGCACAAACACACAATATATATTCTCACTGCACTCGGCCCACTATATAGGATCTCACAACACTCAAAGATTATCCTTTCCATGCAACCTGTAAAGAAACAAAACAATAGGAAAATATAATTGTTAGCACTCAAAGCGCCCATAGATGATGGTAAGGAAGTGTATATTGCTCACAGACACTCAACTCTCAGTTAAAGTAATAGCACACTCTCAATGAAGACATATAGCAGCTCTATTTCCTGCAAAATATAGCAAAAGTTAGACAATCCCTCATATTTATGCTCTTATGCACTCAACCCACACATACTGAACTCCCATCACTCAATGGTTGTATGGTCTTCAGAATAGTGTGGGGAAGCCTCCAAGAATTCAGGAACCATCTGTCACTAGAATGCGTTGTACAGTTAGTCATAGACATCATACGAAATCTAATCATATCTACAATGCATTTAATAACATCCTCCTCAGGAATCATCTCTTTTTTGGAAATTCTATTATTTCTAGCAATCCACAATTGATACACAGTACAAGTAAAAGCCAATTTAACAATAATAACTCTAATAGATTTACCTTGAGCAGATTGTGCCACATGCTGAGTAATACCAGGCCAAGAGTATAGCGATCCCGGGTTTACCCTTGTTATTTGTTGAAACCAAGTGTTAACTTGGAAAGCTGTAAGCCCGTAGGGCATTTTGTTTTGATGTTAACATGTAATACTTATGTAATGAAACTCAATGAAATAAAGGAATGTGGTTAGTTTAATGTTATTATTTTGAGGGCGTTACAAAGAGACATTCAACTTAGATTGAATACAGGTCCACATTCTAGAAGAGAAAGGGTAATCAAAAAACAGATGATTGTGATTTTCACAAGAGTCCTTACAAAGCACACATTCAGTAGATTGAGAAATGCCAAACAATCTTAGTCTATCCCTAGTATTCAATCTACCAAGGATTGCCATCCAAGTTACAAAACTAGCCTTAGGGATATTATGAGGGCCCCAAAGAATGGCAGCCCAGGACATTCTATCCCCAGACTTTCTCAAATAATTCCAAGTTGAAGTGACAGAAAATTTCCCATCAGAGGAGGGAAGCCATCTGACAGAATCTAGGCCATTATTGGGATGGAGGGTAAAAGGAGTGCTCTCAATCAATTCCCTTAATTCCCAAGAAGAAGCAACAGGCCATCTCCAACTAGTATTATCAACAATGGGGGTGTTTGGGAACCTTTGAAATAGGCTATTTTAGCCTCAAATTATAAAAAAAGCCCAAAAGCCTCAAATTGTCCCGCCTAATTCAAAAAAAAAAAAAAAATTTGAAAAGTAGCGGCTGTTAGCCTACACTGTCACCAACAGTGTAGGCTGCAAACAGATAAATGACCATTTTACCCCTATAACTCAATTTTGGAAAAAATAAGGTTAGGGGCAAATCTGTCATTTCAATCTTAAACATCATTTCAAACACATTTTTTAATACAACAATCAACCCAAAAATTTGACCCAACTTCCCAAACATAAAAACTAAAATAGCCTACTAAAATAGCCAAAAAACCAAAAAATAAAAAAAAAAAGCTACTTCCCAAACACCCACAATATCTTTGACCTTAGACTCCATGCCAAGGGTAGAGTCAAAAATAATACGGTCCCCAAATTTAGCCCACAGAGATCCAAGGGGAAGCCAGTTATCAAACCACAAGAAAATCTTCTCCCCATCCCCAGCACAATGCTGAATCAAAGGGTAAATGATAGGTCTAAGGGAAAGAATTTTCCTGAAAACCCAAGATGGAGCACTAGGCATTTTTACCCTCCAAAAGCTCTTGCGTTTAAGCAAGTAAGATTTGACTCATTGACACCACATGGATTGCTCACCCCCAGAAAAGAGAAACCAAATATGCTTGGCAATGGTAGCTTTGTTCCAGATTTCTAAAGATTTAAACCCCAAACCCCCCTCATTCTTAGGGTAACAGATATTCTCCCAAGAAACTTTAGCCCCATGGGTTCTAAACTCACAGCCAGACCAAAAGAAAGACCTAAAAAGGGTTTCAATGGCTCTAATAATCTTCTTGGGAAGAATGAATAAAGAAGACCAATAAACCTGCATGGAAAACAGGACAGATTGCACTACATTTCTTTCAAGGGTCTAAAACAGTAAGCTTCTGTTAATTATTTTTATTTACGCCCTTAACCACATAACAAAGTACAAGATAAAGGTGCAACTTTCCTAACACGAGGATTATTTGTAAGAAGAGACACGAGGTGCAAAATAGGGGTAAATACAAACACTATTCATAAGACTTGAGATTACATCGAGTTCGTAGGGCCAATCTGGACAATTTTTTTAGGCTTGCAATGCTAATATGATCACCGCATACCCTAGCTATTGAAATTTGAATGCTAAGCTTACACATACAATCAAAAGTCTGCGGCAAGATTAATCTCTTGAGTTACATATAATTTGAATCCTTTTAACACGAGTATATAGAAAGTGACTCACTGGCTTGTCAGAGCATCGACTCAAAACTCCCCCGCCAGTACTCACCATGGAGCCCTCACCATGAATAACCGTCTTTTTTATACGCTCACCATCTTCAATTCCTGCCAGTAGAGAAATTTATTGTCGCATCAAGAGTTACAAATGTCAAAAACAGTTTGATTAAAGCACCTACAACATTCTAAGTGTAAATGAGTTCAAAAAATCATACATTGGAGAAACACACATTTAATATGTATCAAGCCTTTCAACATCAAAACTTTGATAGCTAAACACCTAGGATAGTGCTCTTCTCCAAACCGAAAAGAACATCATTTGGAACTCACTTTCTCTTCTAAAGTAGACGCATGCAGAAGGGATGCATTCTGAATTCTCCTAACTTCCAAATAGGCAAGAAGAGCATCATGTGAACGCTAACACTTTCACCGTGTCTCTGCTATCTTTATGTGAAACAAAATTTTCCATCAACACAAAAGCATAACATCCAAGACTACATGAAAACAGATAATATAACATTGAAATGAACATAAGGATGTACAAAATATATTAACACAATTATAATATCATGGACTTGGAATAAAATAACTTGGTGTGCAACTCTTCAAAAGTGTGTATGGCTCTTCGTCTCCACAATCTTGTTCTAATCAAAGCAATTTAAACATTAAATTATTGCTAAATTATTCCATTTTCCAATTAAAACCACCGCGAAATACCACAATTCAATGCCCAACCCAACAAGCACCAACACCAAATCTTGAAAATTTGACCAAAAAAAAAAAAAAAAAAGGAAAAAGGAAGGAAAGAATTGTGTCAAAGTCCACTGATTGGTTAGAGGTAAAATATATATATTTGAATAGCAATAAAATAAAAGGGGCAGGCGCATGCCATATTCAGAAGTACATCTCACTAACAATGTCTATAATAATCATAAATAAAACTTATCTATAGCACCTGTGAGTTTGGTAATTCTTGTTCAGTGGAACAGGATCACCATCTAGTCCCCAACAGTTTCTAGATTTTGCAGGTGTTTCCATGTAGGGAAGACAGAGAGGTAGAGATCTTCCAGAAGCTTGGTGAACAAAATGAAACATGTTATAGAACCTAGGTTGACTACTAGTGTGAAACAATAAGGTTTTACCATCTTCAAGACCTCAAGACATCATTCATTGCAAAGAGAAATGTCAAAAGCAAAAAAAAGATCTCCTAAGTTCATAACTAATCCCCGCAGAAAGCCAATTTGGCACAATTATGTTGCCTGTTGCAACTAAGAAGGCACAAGTCTAGTGAAGTTAACAAGCCGAAAAAATTGCAACTGCTGTAATGAAAGCTAATAATTACTCCAAACTCGAGATTTTATTTTCTTGATAAACTATAGCTTTTTAACTTAAGGAGTACCCTCATTTCCAATTCCTAATTCTGGAACATCAGTTTTCTTTTGATAAACATTCAACAGTTGAGGAACTTGATCCTGATGTTTGGTAACGAAGGCATCCAACAAGCGCTCCTCACTCGTTGAAATGATAGCACTTAAACCTTTTTCCTTCTTTATCAAGCCATTCAACGACAGAACCCTGATGACGGAACATCTGGGAATGATCCTCTTCTCCAAACTGTAACCAAGAGTTTTTGGAGTTCTAGCAATAGTTATAGGTTCGAAACCGATCTCATTCACAAGGAAATCCATCCCACTCGTAATTTTCTTCTCGGACAGAATCATACATTTGGGGAACTTCTTGAATGCCAAGTGAATGTCATCGTCAGACAAACCCCATCTCTTATAGACTTCCACTTTACGTTCCCAAGCTGATTTACTCATGCCAAAAAGCACACAAATTGCATCGACAAATGTCACTTTCGAAGGATCAAATCCCATTTCAATCGCCTTTCTTGCACACAGATTAAACTTGTCTTTGTTTCCAGCCACCACAGAAGGATTCCCACTTACGAATAAAGAGATACAGGATTGAGGCACACCAAGTTCTCCCAACAATGCCACATTGGGGATAGCATTTTTATCCACATGAATCCAGAAAAATCGAGGCCGGAGCATCAAAGCAAAGACACCCCTTTTGTCAAGAAGAACAACTCTTTTGAGGAAATCAAGAGCTGGGATGAGGCTGTTTTTCAAGCTATAGCGTAACAGAAAAGGGGCCGAAGCAACAAGGTCAGCAACTTCAGTTCTTGAAAGCCCTAAAGATTGGAAAAATTCGAGTTTGGGCAAAAGGGTTTTCTTAGGGTTTGATAAGAGCAACGATGGGGAATGCTCTCTTAACTTGTTCTATCCCCATATCGAGCTATTAGAACATAGTTTTGTCCCATTTAACGAGCCACCAAAGAGGTTAATATTGTTGGGCTGGGCAACGCGAGCCTGTGACTCAAGTGAGGGCATCAAAATGGTTGGAAGTTGGTCTGGACCAGCAGGCTGCACCTGATGGAGTTATTTGCTTGCCCGCCCGTTCCAAGTAAGGAGCTGGGCGAGGGGTCTCGGGCAAAGGCCTGAGGGATCTCGATTTCTAGAGATGAGGGCACAAGGCTAGTTATTCCTAGAGAGGAGGGCACAAGGTTAGTTAATTTACAGGTGAAAGGATTGCCGAGGGATCTAGGATGGCACACAATGCCAAGTTAGTTAATTTACAGGATTGTTGAGGATCTCGATTTCTAGAGATGAGGGCACAAGGCTAGTTAATTTAATTTTAGATTCCTAGAGAAGAGGGCATAAGGTAAGTTAATTTACAGGTGAAAGGATTGCCGAGAGATCTAGGATGGCACAACACCAGGTTAGTTAATTTATAGGTGGAAGGACACAATGCCAAGTTAGGTGGAAGAACACAATGCCAAGTTAGTTAATTTACAGGATTGCTGAGTAATTGACTGGGAATTCACTGAGTAATTTACAAAGCAGCGAAATACCTCCCACTCTTGTCGATGGATGGATTACCTGAGTAATTTATAATGCGGGCCAGTGCTTCTCAGGTCCATGTTATCTGCTGGGCCGTTCTCAATATGACAATCACTTTTTTGTGCTTTTTTTTTTTTTTTTTTTCAACTTGGGCCCAACATCTGATTTACATTTTCCTTTCCTTGGGCCAATAATATCTGGTGGCTTCCCCTTCTTGGTGGCCAATCTCTCTCAGTAACAGCCACTTTTTTTTTTAATTTTATTTTTTATTAACTTTTTTACATTTTTTTTTATGGCCCAACTCCCTAAATGCATTATTACTTTTCCTAATTACGAAAATGACAACCATTTTTTTTGGTGATTCTATTTGCGCTTAAAAAATAATTGAGTACATCTAATTAAATTTTCGAAATTTTAATTCATATTATATGCTAATTTAAATTTACTAATAAAGAAAACGCATATTAAATCCTAAAATAAAATATCTTTTTTTTCATGACACACCCTAATTACTTATATGTATTCTTTAGATTCAAGTCTCTTATCTTCTTCCCCAAATTTCAATTATTTTATCTTTTTCTTTCTCACTCTAAAATTCCAATTCACCTTACCAAAACTTACCATTATCAATACTATTGTTTCTTTTTGTGTTGTTACATGCAAATAGAAGAAAGTTTGAGCAAAATCAAATAACGAATGAGAACAATAATCAAAACAATTTTTTGAAACAATCCATCAAAGGTGATGTAAGTTTTCACATAAATATCGAATTACAATTATTAATTTTTGTGTTTAGGGTATTATTTAGATAAAAGAAAAAACTCTTTAAAATTGCATTTCAATCTAAAAATACTTCGTTTAAAATTACACTTTACAATTTATGATTTTTTTCCCATCTAAAACAAAGTTTCACTTCAAAAAAAAAAAAAAAAAAAATCAAACTGCATTTGGCATCTTATAATTTTCTAAAAGGATTAATTTCACTATTTATTCTAAAGATAAATGTTCATGATTTTGTGTATTTTGTTCATCAATTATCAATTTGATGTATGTTCGTTCTTACACTATCAATTTATTGTTAATCAATTTGTAAAATTAAATAGTTAAAATAGATGATAAAAAAAATCGTTAACTAAATCTAAGCAATTTTTTTTTTTTTGGGACAAAAAAAATATTTTACATTTGGACAGTAAAAAGAAAAGTAATCATTTGGTTAAGGCACAATCCTAAAATTGAGAACAATTAATTGAGTTAGCTTAATTATTCATGTTTATAAATATTTAATTGGGAGGTGAGAAAATTAATTTTTATCACAGACAATTTAACAACAATGATTGAGATCCATTTTTTTGGAGACCCTCACAACCCCTTTTGGATCTCAACCATTGATGGTGTAGACCCCACACATACATGAGCGGGTCCGACATATACATCAATAGTTGAGATTCAAATGGGGTTGTGGGGGTCTTCAAAAAAAGGGTGTACCAAACATTTTTCAACAACCAATTAAGATCAAGGGATCAATTCTAATTAAAGACAAAAAAATAATACCTGTGTTTGGTTTGGAATTTTCTGAATTCAATTTTTTAGAAATTGAGTTTTTTATTTTTTAAAACTTTTTTGTTCTTAGTGAATATTTTTAAAATTTTAAACATTTTTTATATTTTTTTTAGATACACCTCACTTAGATGTATCTAAAAAATAAAAATATTTTAAAAAATTAATGAATTCACAAGAACACAAAAAATGTACCGAATTCTCATTTTTTTTTTTTTTTTGTATTTTTAACTCAATCGCATCATTTTTGCCGCGATTCAAACTCCATCCACAGTAATCACAAAAACATTTGAAACATCAGCCTCAATAAACCTAAGACCTCCACCTATTGATCGTCACAAATCATTTGATAAAGATGATTTCTCAAGGAAACCCATTGTTCCTGTTAGTTTAATGTATTGAGAAAGAGAGAAAGAATAAATTGTGTATTGATAGATATTCAGTGTATTTACAATGTTCAGAGAAGACTCTTCTTTATAGGGGAGAGTGTGTACAGAGGGGCCAAAAATGGCCGAAAGAGGCAATGCACTAAGGAACAACATTATGAAAGCTGGTTGGTAGACAGCTCATATACAGCTAGCTAATATACTACTAATATATTCTAACATCCCCCCTCAAACTCAAGGAGGATGGTTACAAACCAACTTGAGTTTGGAAAGAGTAACAAAAATGAAAAAATAAATTGACAAATAAGATAAAATAGGATAGGAGACACTGTATGGTCGTGTCAGACCGTTGTAGAAGACACTGTATGGTCGTGTCGAACCGTTGTAGAAAACACTGTGTGTAAAAGACATTATGTGTAGAAGACACTGTATGGTTGTGTCAGACCGTTGGTGAAGACACTGTATGGTCGTGTCGGGCCGCTGTAGAAGACACTGTGTGATCGTGTCGGACCGTTGTAGGAGCTAACCGAAATCAATGTCGGGACAGTTTACGAGGTCATGTCGGACCGCTGTAGCAGACACTGTGTGGTCGTGTCAGACCGTTGTAGGAACTAACCGGAATCAATATCGGACAGTTTATGGGGTCATGCCGGACCGTTGTAGCAGACACTGTGTGGTCGTGTCAGACCGTTATGACAGTTTATGCCTCGTCTTTGTGTGTGTGTCATGCCCATCATTGTTGCAGACATGGTGTTCAACGAAATGTCCCAGAGGGATTTTGGGTTTGCACTGGCGAGGTGGTGAAGAAGAGTGAAGGTATGTGTAGCAAAATTCCAACGGGCAGCGAAGGCAAAGTTGTCGGCCGGCTGCCCGTCGGTGAGAAAGAAATACAGGCCTAAATCTTATAGCTCTGATACCATATTAAAATAAATGTATAAAGAGAGAGAAGTTTCATGTGTTGATATTTTTAGAGAGAGAGCCGAGAGCCGAGAGAGAGGCCCTGCATGTGTTTGTGTATATTGTTTAGCAGATGATGATGATGATGAGGATAAGGAAGAGTGGAGCAGCGTTCGATAGCTTGCTCAGATCTGGCATATTGGCGGCCGTAAACGCCTCATCCGACGGCGCGAACACCATCACCTTGCCACCTTTCAAGTCAGTGATGTTGATGGAGCGAAGGAGTTCGCGGTGATGACGTTGTTGCAATTGTGTGGCGAGAGTGTGAGGAATAGGGGTTTGCTTCTCAGGGAATGTGGGATTCCTTCATTGGCAGAGAAGAGAGCTCAGCAAGTTAAATGAGCCATTGTAAGGCAGAGAAGAGTTCAGCTATGGAATTTGTGGCAACGGAGTGAAGGTATGTGTAGAGGTCCGACGGGCGGCCAAGACGAGGCTGCCGCCCGCCGGTGAAGCAAAATTATTAGGTTCTTAACCTCGCTCTGATACCATGTTAGTTTAATGTATTGAGAAAGAGAGAAAGAATAAATTGTGTATTGATAGATATTCAGTGTATTTACAATGTTCAGAGAAGACTCTCTTTTATAGGAGAGAGTGTGTACAGAGGGGCCAAAAGTGGCCGAAAGAGGCAATGCACTAAGGAACAACATTATGAAAGCTGGTTAGTAGACAACTCATATATAACTAGCTAATATCCTACTAATATATTCTAACAGTTCCCATTGTTCCCAAGAAAGTCCATACACCTCCAGTAAATGCTATATCATATTCAATAGCAGACCTACAGATGGCTACAGACAGCTTTAGTGTTGAAACTCTTGTCGGCGAGGGGTCCATTGGATGTGTTTATCGAGCTCAGTTTGACGACGAAAAGGTACTCTCTTGAGCTTAATGCTTACAGTTTCTTAATCTGTTGGTGAATAGTATATTTATTTATGACAGATAATTATGTTCCTGCAACATGGCAAATTTGAAGTAGGGAAGAGTGTTTTGTTGTAGGGATCATCATTCATTAAGAAACATCTATCTCAAACATGCACATGCTTTGCTTGTACCACTTGAATTGTTAATTTTGAAGACCAAGAGGAGAAAAAAAGAAAAATAAATTCACCAGAGTGGCTTCCAAAATAGTATACAATGCCCCTTCCCTTATTTCTTTATTGTCCACAATTCCCGATGGGCATCTGAACAAAAACAGTTTGAATGAACCATTTTTTTGGGTTTCTTTGAGCTTTCCTCATTTTTCACCCAGTGGTCAAATCATTGGTTAATGATTTCACCTTTTATGTCTTTTGATGATATTACAGGTTCTTGCTGTGAAGAAAATAAATTCATCTGCTCTTCCAAATCACTTGTCTGAAGATTTTATGGATATAGTTTCAGACGTATTCCGGTTGCGGCATCCAAATATAACAAAGCTTGTCTGTTATTGCTCAGAGCATGGACAGCACCTGCTGGTATATGAGTTCCATAAAAATGGTTCTCTTTATGACTTCCTCTATCTCTCAGATGAATTTAGCAAGCCATTGACCTGGAACACATGTGTCAAGATTGCTTTAGGGACTGCACGTGCACTAGAGTAAGTTGAAAGAGAGATTGGAGAGCAGTTGACATAGGAATGCTCTCTTAACTTGTTCTATTTCCACATCGAGATATTAGAACATAGTTTTGTTCCATTTAAAGAGCCACCAAAGAGGTTAATATCGCCGGGCTTGGTAACGCGAGCCTATGACTCAAGTGAGGGTATTAAAGTGGTTGGAAGTTGGTCTGGTCCAGCAGGCTGTCCCTGATGGGTTATTTGCTGGCCCGCCCATTCCAAGTAAGGAGTTGGGCCTTAAAGAATTGTTGGAAGCAGGTTACAGGTGGAAGAATTGCTGGAAACAGGTTTAGGCCATGAAGAATTGTTGGAAACAAGTTTACCTCCCGCTCTTGTCGGTGGATGGATTACAGGCCGGCCGGTGCTCCTCAGGTCCATGTCTGCTGGGCCGTTCTCAATATGACAACCACTTTTTTGTTTTTTTTTTTTTTTTAACACTTGGGCCCAACATCTGATTTACATTTTCCTTGGGCCAATAACATCTGGTGGCTGTCCCTTCTTGGTGGCCTGTCTCCCACAATAACTGCCACTTTTTTTTTCTTTTTTTTTATGAACTTACATTTTTTTTATGGCCTAACTCCCTAAATGCATTATTGCTTTTCCTAATTATGAAAATGACAACCATTTTTTTGGGTGATTCTATTTGCACTTAAAAAATAATTGAGTACACCTAATTAAATTTTTGAAATTTTAATTTATATTATATGCTAATTTAAATTTATTAATAAGGAAAACACATATCAAATCCTAAAATAAAATATCTTTTTTTTCATGGCACACCCTAATTATTTATTTGTATTATTTAGATTCAAGTCTCTTATCTTCTTCCCCAAATTTCAATTATTTTATCTTCTTCTTTCTCACTCTAAAATTTCAATTCGCCATACCAAAACTTACCATTATCAGCACCATTGTTTCTTTTTGTGTTATTACTTACAAATAAAAGAAAGTTTGAACATAATCAAATAACGAATGAGAACAATAATCAAAACTATTTTTTGAAACAATTCATCAAAGGTGATGTAAGTATTCACATAAATATCGAATTACAATGATTAATTTTTGTGTTTAGGGTGTTATTTAGATAAAAGAAAAAACTCTTTAAAATTGCATTTGAATTGGAAAAATTAAAATAAGAATTTGAGGCTAAGATAAACAAAAATTATAAGAAACTATATATAGCTACTGTACTAAAATATATAAGAAGAGACGAGAGAGAGAACTGGGCATCGTTGAAAAAATAAAAAAAATAAAAAAAGGGCGAACTGGACAACCCATCAATGATATTCTCAAATGGGCACTTGGCATGGTGAACACAATAATTGCTGACACTTTCAAGAAAATCCTTTTCACAAACCAATAAAATAACTGTTTTATATATTTTCATTAAAAAAAAAATTAGTGATGGTTTAATTGATATTGAGCAATTTGTAAGTGAATAAATAATTGTGAGAAATCTGTTTAAGAATTTTTGAATAGTTTTTTGTAAAGTGGTGTAATTTGAAATTTTTGATTTGTTTATTTGGATGTATCTAGAAGGATAATTTAGGAAAAACATAGGATGTTTTGAGAATAAAATATAACCTTAAATAATTTAATAGGATGTATTGATAATTAAACGTACTTAATGATTTTTTTGGGTGGAAATAGAATCCTCCACTTTTTTGTTTTTCTTACACTCGGAGCCAATATCTGATTTTCATTTTCCCTTTCTTGGGCCCAATAATATTTGGTGGCTTCCCCTTCTTGGTGGGCCCAATAATATATGGTGGCTTGTCTCCCTCAATAAGAGCCTTTTTTTTTTAATTTAACTTTTTATATTTTTTTTATGGCCCAACTCCCTAAATGCATTATTACTTTTCCTAATTATGAAAAAAAGAGTAGACTCTGTTTGGTTTGATTTTCTTATTTTTAGAAATATTTTTTAAAATTTAAAAATTAATTTGGTAAAAAAAAATTTTGTTTTAATTATTTTATATAATTTTATTATTTGAGATGACATAAATAATATTTAAAATTCAAAAAAAAAAACTCATATTTATTTTCATTAAACTATATATATTTTTAATTTTGAAGATAGTTTCACAAAAACTAAACAAGCATGTGTCCAAACAACAAAAGATAATTTGTTTTTCAAAATATTCTCTTGGAAACCAAACTCATCTTTGATCTTTCCTAAAGGAAACTTTTTTGATCATCCATCTTATGCTTCTTTGATTATTAGTATGACTTATTTTAAATAAATAAAAAAGAAAAAGAAATCATTCATCCTTGGGACCCATGCACTACATTTCTTTTTTTGGGTGAATAAGTCATAAATAAAAACATAATATAAACACAAATACAAGGGGCATGCCCCCAGCCCTAACCCCAACTATACAAGCAAGAACAACCAACCTAAAAATAGCCTAAAAAGGCATGCCAAACAGAGAACAAGTTGATACAAAAGTAGCTTCAACTAACAAAACTAAGATATATATATTACCTGAAAAATCCAAAGCTATTAACTGGATAAATAAAGATATACCAAACAATTAAATAACTTAGAATTATAACACGGGAAGGAAGACTAAACTCAAGCTCCAAAACAGATTGTGATTCCTTGTATACGTTCAGGCTCCCTATACAAATAGTATGTGGACCATGAACACATTCCATAAGCTCACAAATCTAATACAAAAAAAAGAGACAAAAAAGAGCCATCCCTTACACAACCCGTAAGGGTAAGCCAACAAAAGATCTTCAAGACATCCACTCAAACAACAGTACCATAGTATAATGGATTCAACAGATATATACAATTAAAATAAAAGCTTTCTTCACACTCGAGGTGCCTAAAGCAGCTATCCCTTCTTGCTACCAGCTTCCAGAATTTAGCAGACCCTGCCCAAGATGGATAGATACATGAGTTCCAGAAGTGCCAGATATACAACAGCAGGAAATACACAATAGCTGCTGTATAATTGCACAAACACACAATATATATTCTCACTGCACTCGGCCCACTATATAGGATCTCACAACACTCAAAGATTATCCTTTCCATGCAACCTGCAAAGAAAAAAAAACAATAGGAAAATATAATTGTTAGCACTCAATGCGGCCGTGGATGATGGTAAGGAAGTGTATATTGCTCACAAACACTCAACCCTCAGTTAAAGTAATAGCACACTCTCAATGAAGACATATAGCAACTTTATTTCCTGCAAAATATAGCAAAAATTAGACAATCCCTCAGATTTATGCTCTCATGCACTCAACCCACATGTACTGAACTCCCATCACTCAATGGTTGTGTGGTCTTCAGAATAGTGTGGGGAAGCCTCCAAGAATTCAGGAACCATCTGTCACTAGAATGCCTTGTACAGTTAGTCATAGACATCATACGAAATCTAATTATATCTACAATGCATTTAATAACAACCTCCTCAGGAATCATCTCTTTTTTGAAAATTCTATTATTTCTAGCAATCCACAATTGATACACAGTACAAGTAAAAGCCAGTTTAACAATAATAGCTCTAATAGATTTACCTTGAGTAGATTGTGCCACATGCTGAGTAATACCAGGCCATTGACTAACAGGCCAAGAGACATTCAACTTAGATTGAATACAGGTCCAGATTCTAGCAGAGAAAGGGTAATCAAAAAACAGATGATTGTGATTTTCACAAGAGTCATTACAAAACACACATTCAGCAGATTGAGAAATGCCAAACAATCTTAGTCTATCCCTAGTATTCAATCTACCAAGGATTGCCATCCAAGTTACAAAACTAGCCTTAGGGATATTATGGGGGCCCCAAAGAATGGCAGCCCAGGACATTCTATCCCCAGACTTTCTCAAATAATTCCAAGTTGAAGTGACAAAAAATTTCCCATCAGAGGAGGGAAGCCATCTGGCAGAATCTAGGCCATTATTGGGATGGAGGGTAGAAGGAGTGCTCTCAATCAATTCCCTTAATTCCCAAGAAGAAGCAACAGGCCATCTTCAACTAGTATTATCAACAATGGGGGTGTTTGGGAACCTTTGAGATAGGCTATTTTAGCCTCAAATTATAAAAAAGCCCAAAAGTCTCAAATTGTCCCGCCTAATTCAAAAAAAAAAAAAAAATGAAAAGCAGTGGCTGTCAGCCTACACTGTCACCAACAATGCAGGCTGCAGACAGGTAAATGACGATTTTACCCCTATAGCTTAATTTTTGAAAAAATAAGGTTAGGGGCAAATCTGTCATTTCAATCTTAAACATCATTTCAAACACACTTTTTAATACAACAATCAACCCAAAAATTTAACCCAACTTCCCTAACACAAACTAAAATAGCCTACTAAAATGGCCAAAAAGCCAAAAAAACCCAAAAAAAAACCACTTCCCAAACACCCACAATATCTTTGACCTTAGACTCCATGCCAAGGGTAGAGTCAAAAATAATACGGTTCCCAAACTTAGCCCACAGAGATCCAAGGGGATGCCAATTATCAAGCCACAAGAAAATCTTCTCCCCATACCCAACACAGTGCTGAATCAGAGGGTAAATGATAGGTCTAAGGGAAAGAATTTTCCTCCAAACCCAAGATGGAGCACTAGGCATTTTTACCCTCCAAAAGCTCTTGCCTTTAAGCAAGTAAGATTTGACTCATTGACACCACATGGATTGCTCACCCCCAGAAAAGAGAAACCAAATATGCTTGGCAATGGCAGCTTTGTTCCAGATTTTTAAAGATTTAAACCCCAAACCCCCCTCATTCTTAGGGTAACAGATATTCTCCCAAGAAACTTTAGCCCCATGGGTTCTAAGCTCACAGCCAGACCAAAAGAAAGACTTAAAAAGGGTTTCAATGGCTCTAATAATCTTCTTGGGAAGAATGAATAAAGAAGACCAATAAACCTGCATGGAAAACAGGACAGATTGCATTACATTTCTTGCAAGGGTCTAAAACAGTAAGCTTCTGTTAATTATTTTTATTTACACCCTTAACCACATAACAAAGTGCAAGATAAAGGTGTAACTTTCCTAACACGAGGATTATTTGTAAGAAGAGACACGAGGTGCAAAATAGGGGTAAATACAAACACTATTCATAAGACTTGAGATTACATTGAGTTCGTAGGGCCAATCTGGACAATTTTTTTAGACTTGCAATGCTAATATGATCACCGCATACCCTAGCTATTGAAATTTGAATGCTAAGCTTACACATACAATCAAAAGTCTGCGGAAAGATTAATCTCTTGAGTTCCATATAATTTGAATCCTTTTAACACGAGTATATAAAGCGTGACTCACTGGCTTGTCAGAGCATCGACTCAAAACTCCCCCGCCAGTACTCACCATGGAGCCCTCACCATGAACAACCGTCTTTTTTATACCCTCACCATCTTCAATTCCTGCCAGTAGAGAAATTTATTGTCGCATCAAGAGTTACAAATGTCAAAAACAGTTTGATTAAAGCACCTGCAACATTCTAAGTGTAAATGAGTTCAAAAAATCATACAGTGGAGAAACACACATTTTATATATATCAAGCCTTTCAACATCAAAACTTTGATAGCTAAACACCTAGGATAGTGCTCTTCTCCAAACCGAAAAGAACATCATTTGGAACTCACTTTCTCTTCTAAAGTAGACGCATGCAGAACGGCTGCATTATGAATGCTCCTAACTTCCAAATAGGCAAGAAGAGCATCATGTGAACGCAAACACTTTCACCCTGTCTCTGCTATCTTTATGTGAAACAAAATTTTCCATCCAACACAAAAGCATAACATCCAAGATTACATGAAAATAGATAATATAACATTGAGATGAACATAAGGATGTACAAAATATATTAACACAATTATAATATCATGGACTTGGAATAAAATAACTTGCTGTGCAACTCTTCAAAAGTTTGTATGGCTCTTCGTCTCCACAATCTTGTTCTAATCAAAGCAATTTAAACATTAAATTATTGCTAAATTATTCCATTTTCCAATTAAAACCATCACGAAATACCACAATGCAATGCCCAACCCAACAAGCACCAACACCAAATCTGGAAAATTTGAAATAAAAAAAAGGAAGGAAAAAGGAAAGAAAGAATTGTGTCAAAGACCACTGACTGGTTAGGGGTAAAATATATATATTTGAATAGCAATGCAATAAAAGGGGCAGGCGCATGCCAAATTCAGAAGTACATCTCACTAACAATGTCTATAACAATCATAAATAAAACTTATCTATAGCACCTTGCGAGTTTGGTAATTCTTGTTCAGTGGAACAGGATCACCTTCTAGTCCCCAACAGTTACTAGATTTTGCAGGTGTTTCCATGTAGGGCAGACAGAGAGGTAGAGATCTTCCAAAAGCTTGGTGAATAGAATGAAACATGTTATAGAACTTAGGTTGACTACTAGTGTGAAACAATAAGGTTTTACCATCTTCAAGACCTCAAGACATCATTCATTGCAAAGAGAAATGCCAAAAGCAAAACAAAGATCTCCTAAGTTCATAACTAATCCCAGCAGAAAGCCAATTTGGCACAATTCTATTGCCAGCTGCATCTAGGAAGGCACAAGTCCAATGAAGCTAACAAGCCGAAAAATTGTAATTGCTGTAATGAAAGCTAATAATTACTCCAAACTTGAGATTTTATTTTCTTCATAAACTATAGCTGTTTTAACTTAAGGAGTACCCTCATTTCCAATTCCTAATTCTAGAACATCAGTTTTCTTTTGATAAACATTCAACAGTTGAGGAACTTGATCCTGATATTTGGTAACGAAGGCATCCAAGAAGCGCTCCTCACTCGTTGAAAGGATAGCACTTAAACCTTTTTCCTTCTTTATCAAGCCATTCAACGACAGATCCCTGATGACGGAACATCTGGGAATGATCCTCTTCTCCAAACTGTAACCAAGAGTTTTTGGAGTTCTAACAACAGTTATAGGCTCGAAACCGATCTCATTCACAAGGAAATCCATCCCACTCGTAATTTTCTTCTCGGACAGAATCATACATCTGGGGAACTTCTTGAATGCCCAGTGAGTGTCATCGTCAGACAAACCCCATCTCTTATAGACTTCCACTTTACGTTCCCAAACAGCTGTACTCATGCCAAAAAACACACAAATTGCATCGACAAATGTCACTTTGGAAGGATCAAATCCCATTTCAATCGCCTTTCTTGCACACAGATTAAACTTGTCTTTGTTTCCAGCCACCACAGAAGGATTCCCACTTACCAATAAAGAGATACAGGATTGAGGCACACCAAGTTCTCCCAACAATGCCACATTGGGGATAGCATTTTTATCCACATGAATCCAGAAAAACCGAGGCCGGAGCATCAAAGCAAAGACACCCCGTTTGTCAAGAAGAACAACACTTTTGATGAAATCAAGAGCTAGGATGAGGCGGTTTTTCAAGCTATAGCGTAACAGAAATGGGGCCGAAGCAACAAGGTCAGCAACTTCAGTTCTTGAAAGCCCTAAAGATTGGAAAAATTCGAGTTTGGGCAAAAGGGTTTCTTAGGGTTTGATAAGAGCAACGATGGGGACTTATGAACTAGTTTGGAAATTTGGAAATCAGAAAACCCACGATCTCTGAAGAAAGATAGAACAGAGTCTGGTCCATCGGAGGTCCGAAAATGAACCTTGTGGGATATAGAGTTGGCGATTTCTGGGGATAATCCACATGAGTTTACGAGGTGAGACACTGTAAAACACTCGATTTCATTCTTGGTTGTTGGTGGTGTTGATGTTTTCTTTGATGAGAAGAATTTGATGGGTATTGTTATCTGTAGTTTTGGAAGAAAACCCAGATGAGTTGTGGCTGAAATTCCAACAGAACCACAATGTCTGAGTCGGCTTTGTTGACAAAAGAAAGCAAACATTGCATTCAAAGTGATAGAGAAAATATTCCCAGGGTAGAGATTATGAACTCACCAGCTTCACCAAGATTTTCTTGATCGATTCAGAGCCTCTTTCTCTCTCTGTGTAGCATTCATATAACTCTTCCTCGCACGCGCACACTCTCTCTCTCTCTCTCTCTCTCTGTCTCCTTCAGTATCTGGGTGGGGTGGGAGAGGCAATTTTGCCCCGACCCGCATCCCCGTCCTAGCCCGCACCATTTTGTCCTGCCCTGACCCGCATTATTTTTTCCCGCTCCAGTGAAAGAGTGAGGATGGGTTTAATTTTTTTGCCCGTTTAACCCGCTATGTTTTGTTTATATTTACTAATTATATCCATGTGTATAATATATACCATTTAATTTTTTTCAATATTATAAAATTAAAACTCAAAATATTGCCCTTCATCATTTATTTTCACTTCCTTGCTTATTTTGAATCTATGCTTTCGAAATAGTTATCGATTATGAGGGTAATCAAGTGACAATAAATCACTAATTAATCAGAATTTATGAGTAATGATTTTTTTTGGTTTGGCTAAATGGGGTCACAATTTTACTCTTAACATTTGTTCCATGGCAATTTTGTTCATCATAGGGGCAGGTACATTGGTAAACAAAATTCTCCACTAATTAATGTGGATGAAAGATTTTGTTCACTTTCTTTTTCTAAAAATAAAGCAGAAGTTAAATTATTTATCAAGTTTTTTTTTTTTTATAAATATTATTTGAAAAAATAATACCTTTTTGCTTAGTTACTTGAGAAATATATATACATATATATATTTATAAATAGTTGCTTGCGAAATATGCAACACAATTTTATATGGATTGTGTTTTCCTTTCTTAATTAAACCCAAGATATAAACATGGTCTAAAAGTGTCAATGCTTAATGATTGTCGTGATTAATTCTGGACTGCAAAGATTGAGCTCCAACATACAATGAACTATCTCAAGTCAGCCATGTATCAGATCTGGTAATTTCAAAGAAACATATCAACATCTGCTTCTTTTCTCACCCTATGATTCAAACGGAGTATAAAAAAAATAACAAAACAACCCTACTGCATAGGAACACGGAAAAGTTGCATGACATTAACAGAAATGAGATAGAGGATCCAGCAATGGAGTTCTCTCAAGACTGAGATTTTTGGAGCGATATACTCTTTCTGAACATCCGTTAGGAAAATCTAGGCCATGAACATCAAAGTAGCTATGAGTTCTCATCAATAAGAGGGTACACTCTCAAGCTGTGTTTGGAACTTTGGATCTAGGATTTGTTGAGGAAGAAGAAAAAAAAAACTGCATTCTAGTAGAAACAACTACTGAATTACTAAAAAGAGCCACTCCAAGTTTTAGGGTTGGTTTGGCAAGGGCTCATTGGACTTTTTTTGACTCAATGAGCCATAAAAGACAGAATAGGCTCATGACCCACAACAGACAAAACATCACATCCAACCCCATAATCATTACACTCTTCTCTCACAAAAAAATCAACAAAGCCAAAAAGCCAAAAGCCCTTCCCAAACTAAGCTTTTGAGCCCAGGCTCGTATAGTCAAAAAAGCCAAAAAGCCAAAAAGCCAAAAAGTCAACCCACTTCCCAAATGAAGGCTTAGCAGAATTTGCACATGTTGGCAGCAAAAAGACATTTTGTATCGTTATCTGAAAAAGGGATAAAAAAAAAAAAAGAAGTTTGCTTTCTAGCATAAAGAACTTTTGAGTTTTGAATTACTGAAGCAATTCTCAAGGAAACTAAGACAACAGATGGAATTAGTTTTCCAAGCTCAGTTACAAAATAGCAGGGATATGAAAACAGAACTTCTGTCAGCATAGAAAGCAAACTACATAAGCACAGTCAATTTATGGCAAAAGCATTTTCTATAGTTGGGTATGACCAGCAATAGGCATTCAATAAACATAATATTGATATCATTTTACTTGGAAAAAAATAACTTACTGTGAAATTCCCATTCCATAATTAGAAAGAGACATCTCAACATCTATTTATTTCATGCTAAATATTCATGACAAAGGAGAGGAATAAGAACAAAACAACCTTACTACGCATAATACGAAAAAGTAGCATGGGATTACAAGCAATGAGATAGAGGATCTGGCAATGGAGTTCTCTCAAGACAGAAATTCGGAAAGGTATACTCCTTCCGCAGATCCATTGGGGAAATCTAGGCCACGAACACCAGTGTAGCTAGAAATTCTCATCAATCAGAGCTCACTCTTATGCTATGTTTGGGTCTAGGATTTGTTGAGGGGAGGGGAAGAAGAGGAAATCAATTTTCTAGCAGAAATGACATTTGAATTATTGAAAAGAACCACTCCAAGGTTTCCCAGAATTGCATACATTGGCAGCAAAAAGACATTCTTATATCATGAGTTGAAAAAAAGAAAAAAAGAAAAAAAAAAAAACACTTTCTTGCAGAAATGGATATTGAATTATTGTAACAATTCTCAAGGAAACTAAGACAATGAAGGGCTTGTTTCTCCAAGCACAGTTTCAAGAGAGCAAGGATATGAAACAGAACTTACGTCAAAGCAAACTACATAATAGAAAAAGTTGGGTTACAGAAAAAGCATTTTCCAGAGTTAGGCATAACCAGCAATGGGAAATCAGTAACGGGTTCGCAAATGTAGTTATTGAAAATCAATTTTTGAACAGGTTAAACCTAATGTCAGAGGATAAAATGTGCCATATGGGATGTAGCAATGGTAGCTTAAGGGGGCAAATTACATGAAAATAAGAAAATATTCTCTTCAAGTTAGTTAGAAGGAAAACACCAGTCATATGGAAAATCTAGGCATATTCACTCCAACCAACAATTATTGCATTCCTATACACAAGCACAAACCTCACTGCCAAATTTAGTTTCATTGACTACTAGAAATGATAGATTTTTCAAAGAAGACACACATATGAGAATGGGAGACAGGTATTGACTTGAAGATGTGTTTTTACCTGCTAACTTCTGTAACATCTTTGAACATATGTTAATGAATTTAATGCATGCTATGTCACTTATCAAAAGAACATGCTACATTTCTTATCCGAAACATCAAGGAAATGCATAATAAAGCACTCAAAACAATCCTAGCAGAAGCCATAATATCTGTGTTTCCAGAACAATTCCAATTGAACTAGTGTGTGGAGGTAAGGTAACAACTGTCCAACGAAAACTAACGCTCATATAAATGTGAAGGACTGATCCATTCTTTTCATATCTTAGATCCTAATCTTGGTTCCACAAGATCCATTTTCCCTAAATAAATATTCTTCAGACCAGGAACATCATCCTGATATTTGTTCACAAACTTGTCCAGGAACACTTCCTCTCTGGGTATTAGAAAAGTACTCAAGCACAGACCTTTCTTCACCAACTCTTTTGTCAGTAAAATTTTAACAACTGTGCACCGTGGGATGATCCTCCTCTCCAGATTGAAGAAGAGGACTACTGGACATCTAGCAACAAGTGCTGCTTGCCAACCCATCTTGTTCACAAGAAAATCCATTGTTTCCATAATTTTCTCCTCTGATAAATTCATACACAACGGATGTGCTCTGAATGCCAACAGAATCTCGTCATTAGACAAACCCCATCTCCCATAAACCTCCTTTTTACGTTTGAAAGTTGACTCACGCATAAAACAAAGCACTTGGACTGCGTGAGCGAAATTCGATCTCTGAGGGTTGAATCCCATTTCAATTGCCTTATTCACACCTTCTTTGAACTTGCGACTCTCCTGAAGCAGTGTGCCCGGAGAACGATACATCATGAACGAGGTTACGGATTGAGGCACCCCAGCTTCTCTCAATGTTGCTATATTAGGGGCAAGTATCTTTTCCACATTGAATAGAAGAACCCTAGGACTACGCTTCAACATTTTAATGACGTTTTGATCGAGAAAAAGCACACTCTTGAGGAAATTATAACAAGGGATTAGCTGGTTTTCTAAGCTTCGGGACAATAAAGCTTGGCAGTAGGTAGCACAGATAACTCTTGGAATGTCAGTGCTTGACAAGCCTATAGAACGAAAGAACTCAAGTTTAGGCAAGATGGTTTTCTGGGGATTGTAGAAAAGGATATTTGGGTCCATATCAACAAGTTTGGAGATTTGGGTATTGGTGAATCCATAATTCCTCAAAAGGGTTTTGACTAGCTCTGTGTTTTGTACTCTCTTAGATGATAAAGTATCAATTTTGGGGGCACAATCAATGGAACGATTGTTTGAATCTTCTAACACAAAACTCTTCGATGAGAATAATTTTTTGATGGGTGGTGTATTAGAAGCAATGAGGAGATGAATGTTCCATGAGCCACTAACAAAACTATGGATTGGGCGTAGATTTTTAGAGAAGAAGAAAGAGAGCATTGTTCAAGAAAAATTGAATCGAAGTGTAAAGAAGCTCTCACCCTGCATCAAAGATCATGGAAAATGGAGTCTCGAGATGGAGAAGTTAGAGAAGTCGATATGAGCAGTTCAGGCCGTGGCTACGGCGGCCAACGGTGGAGGAGGCGACGTTGGCCGCGCCTTCAACCTTAGCCTTCGGATTTGTTTGATTTGTGAGATTTTGTTTTGTTGAAGCTCTACACGATGTCGTTTTTGTGGAAGAGTGTGAGTGTGTGTGTGTGTCATCAATCTGAAAATACTTCGTTTAAAATTACACTTTACAATTTATGATTTTTACCCACCTAAAACAAAGTTTCACTTCAAAAAAAAAAAAAAAAAAATCAAATTGCATTTGGCATCTTATAATTTTATAAAAGGATTAATTTCACTATTTATTCTAAAAATAAATGTTCATGATTTCGTGTATTTTGTTCATCAATTATCAGTTTGATGTATTCTCGTTCTTACACTATTAAGCCTCCGTTTGGGAAGTGGATTGGTTTTTTGGCTTTTTAGCTTTTTTGGTTATTTTAGCCTGGGCTTAAAAGTTTGGTTTGGGAAGGGCTTTTTGGCTTTTTAAAGTTTTTTTATGAGAGAAGAATGTAATGATTATGGGTTAGATGTGATGTTTTGTTTGTTATGGCTAAAATAGCCTATTTTGTTTTTTGTGACTAAAATAGCAAAAAAAAACCCAAACCATGACTTCCCAAACGAAGCCTAATTTATTGTTATTCAATTTGGTCAATTACAAGTGTATAATAAAATAAATAGTTAAAATAGATGATGAAAAAATCGTTAACTACATAATATAAGGCAATTTTATTTTATTTTTTTTGGACAAAATAAATATTTTACATTCAGATGGTAAAAGGAAAAGTAATCATTTGGCCAAGGCACAATCCTCAAATTGAGAATAATTAATTGAGTTAGCTTAATTAGTCATGTTTATAAACATTTAATTAGGAGGTGAGAAAATTAGTTTTTATCACAGACAATTAATTAAGATCAAGGAATCAATTCTTATTAAAGGCAAAAAAATAATATCTGTGTTTGGTTTTGAATTTTCTAAATTCAATTTCTTAAAAATTGAATTTTTTATTTTTCATATTTTTTTATTCTTAGTGAATATTTTTAAAATTTTAAGCATTTTATATATTTTTTTAGATACACCTCGCTTAGATGAATCTCAAAAGTAAAAATACTTGTAAAAAAAATATTTAAAAAAATTAATAAATACGCAAGAATATAAAAAATTTACTAAATTCTCAATTATTATTATTATTATTTTTTTTTGTATCTTTGATATTTATTGAATTTTCTAAAGATTTTTTTCCCAAATTATACTTTTTAAGCTTATTTATATCAAGTTTATCTAAAAATTAAAAAAAAATACTTAGAATATTTTAAAAAATTCAATAAAAATAAAAAAATACGAAAAATAAAAAATTTCAATTTTCTCCATCTCCAGACTCCAATTTCTATGGTTGTTTGATGCAGCGTGAGAGCTTAGCTTCTTCACACTTTAATTCAATTGTTCTTGAACAATGCTCTCTTTCTTCTTCTCTAAAAATCTTCCCCCAATCCATAGATTTGTCAATGATTCATGGTACACTCAACTCTGCATCAAAAAATCGTTCACAGCAATCCTTTGCACTTCAAACAATCCTTCTCCTCTTGGCTCATCTATGAAATCACCACACAAAGCAGAGCTATTCAATTTATATTATTGATTTTCAAGATTTAGCGCAGAGGAAAAATAACTCTGTAATTTCAGTAAAAACTTATTACGACACATCGAAATATAATATCAGTTAAAAACTTCATCATAGATCCAAACCGACTTCCAGGAAAGCAAACTAGTCTCTATTAAATACCAAACCATCTTGTAGTTCTAACTACACCTAAAGCAAACTAATCAGACTTCTTACCGTAGTTGAGCATACTCGCATATACATCAATGAAAATCAGTGAATTTTCATAGCTAAATTCCCTCAGAAGAGCGAATCTTTTTACGAGGAAAATTAATCTTTCTTAGAGAGCAGAGCTTCAAGAGATTTGGGATCGGTAACTGGAGGGCTGCACGTGAATTTCTGGTAGATGAGAGCCACCACCTTGTCACTGACAAAATTATTCTTTGCCATGGTGGCAATTTCACCATTATTTTCCTCCCAAAATTCCAACTCTTCTTCCTCGGTAGGGTCTACATGAATTACCTGCCAAAATATGGGTAGTTTAATTTTTTTTGGTTAACAAGCAAGAAGTGCCCTTGAATCCTTAACAAGAACCAATCAGATATCAAGAGACTCACAGTTGGGATCATATGATGCATGAGCAGCAGCAAGCATCTTTTCATATCTTAGATCCTGGTCTTGGTTCCACAAGATCCATTTTCCTTCAATAAATATTCTTCAGACCAGGAACATCATCCTGATATTTGTTCACAAACCTCCCCAGGAACACTTCCTCTTTGGGTATTAGAAAAGTAGTCAAGCGCAGTTTTTTCTTCACCAACTCTTTTGTCAGCAGAATTTTAACAACTGTGCACCGTGGGATGATCCTCCTCTCCATATTGAAGAAGAGGACTACTGGACATCTAGCAACAACCGTGGCTTGCCAACCCATCTTGTTCACAAGAAAATCCATTGTTTCCATAATTTTCTCCTCCGATAAATTCATACACAATGGATGTGATCTGAATGCCAACAGAATCTCATCATTAGACAAACCCCATCTCCCATAAACCTCCTTTTTCTGTTCGAAAGTTGACTCATGCATATCACAAAGCACTTGGACTGCATGAGCGAATGTTGATCTCTGAGGGTTGAATCCCATTTCAATTGCCTTATTCACACCTTCTTTGAACTTGAGACTCTCCTGATACAGTGTGCTAGGAGAACGATACATCATGAACGAGATTACGGATTGAGGCACCCCAGCTTCTCTCAATGTTGCTATATTAGGGGCAAGTACCTTTTCCACATTGAATAGAAGAACCCTAGGACGACTCTTCAACATTTTAATGACATTTTGATTGAGAAAAAGGACACTCTTGAGGAAATTATAACAAGGGATTAGCTGGTTTTCTAAGCTTCGGGACAATAAAGCTTGGCAGTAGGTAGCACAGATAATTCTTGGAATGTCAGTGCTTGACAAGCCTATAGAACGAAAGAACTCAAGTTTAGGCAAGATGGTTTTCTGGGGATTGCAGAAAAGGATTGTTGGGTCCATATCAACAAGTTTGGAGATTTGGGTATTGGTGAATCCATAATTCCTCAAAAGGGTTTTGACTAGCTCTGTGTCTTGTACTTTCTTAGGTGATAAAGTATCAATTTTTGGGGCACAATCAATGGAACGATTGTTTGAATCTTCTAACACAAGACTCTTCGATGAGAATAATTTTTTGATGGGTGGTATATTCGGAGCAATGAAGAGATGAGTGTTCCATGAGCCACTAACAAAACTATGGATTGGGCATAGATTTTTAGAGAAGAAGAAAGAGAGCATTGTTCAAGAAAAATTGAATCAAAGCGCAAAGAAGCTCTCACCCTGCATCAAAGATCATGGAAATTGGAGAGTCTGGAGATGGACAAGTGAGAAGTCGATATGAGCACTTCAGGCTGTGGCTACGGCGGCCAACGGTGGAGGAGGCGACGTTGGCTGTGCCTTCAATCCTAGCTTTTGGATTTGTTGATTTGTGAGATTGGATTTTGTTTTGATGCTCTCCACAATGTCGTTTTTGTAGAAGAGTGTGTATGAATCCGGATCCTCCGTCGCCCTTTCCTGCGGCGCATCCTGTGGTCCTCCAAAACGACGTTGTTTTGGAGGGGTTTTTTTTTCTTGGCGCCGGGGAAGACATTGAGATGATGGCATATAAAACTTGGATCGAGACCGGGCATGTCGTAAGGTGACCATGCGAAGACTTCGATATTGGCCATCAAAAATTCAACCATGTCGGTCCTTTCTTGGGCTGTGAGGCTTGAGCCGAGCAAGAAGAACTTGTCCGGATGCTCTGTATCAATGCGCACGTCCACCAACAAGTCGACAGCTTTGTCCTCGGCCTTGGTGCCCACGTCGTCAATGACTCCCCGGTCTTCCAGTCCCTCAATCATTTGAAAGAAGCCTTTGGCAACTCGGCTCCCGTTGACCGCCACGAAGCATTGCTTCGACATGACTTGATCACCCCAAATCTCCTCGATTGCCCCCATATCCAAAGGGAATCTTATCACCTGATGATAGGTCGACGCTACGGCTTGCATAGCGTGAAGCCATCCCCTTCCTAGGATCAAATTATAAGTGGATGGCACTTGCAACACCCAGAACTCCACTTGTTTGACAACAAAACCCGCTTTAACCAGCAGGATAATCTTTCCCAAAGGCCACTCCGGTTGTGAGTTGAAACCAACCAGTGGCGACGTCGCCGGGGCCAAATCTGTGTCCCAGAGCTTGAGCTGTTTGAAAGCGTCGTAGTACATGATCTCGACCGAGCTTCCCTGATCGATCAAGATCCGTTTGAGATCAAATTCTTTGACGTGGAGTGTTACCACTAGGGCATCGTTGTGCGGCGTCCGAATGCGCTCTAGGTCTCTTGAGGAGAAACTGATCACGTCTTTCTCTTCGGTCTTCCCCCTTTTAATTGCAGGCTGAACCGACAAAACTTTTCTCATGTGTTCTGCCTTCTTGATCATTCCTCAGAGCTTGCATACACGCGCCGGTTCCACTATGCCATGGATGACATTAATAACCCCTTGGGGAGGCGCATCTCGGTCATCCGGTCCCCTCGGATCAATCGGAGCTTGATTGGCCTTCACACCACCATCAATGTAAAGGTCCAAGTGTCCGGCTGCAACTAGCTCTTCCAAGTGTTGCCTCAAAGGCAAATAATCTTTTGTCCGATGGCCTCGCTCTCAGTGAAACGTGCAACAGTACCGCGGATTGAAGCCCTTCTGTCCGTCGCCTAACTTAGCTAGAAACCGGACATACTCCTCGTCACGGGTTTCACTAAGTATGCGATAAATTGGAATCTTAAAGACCGTGGTGATGCCTGTCCTTGCTTTCAACCTTCTGTTAGCATTGGCTACATCATCCCGGGGTAATCATCCCGGTCATTCCGACGCCCCTACCGCGGTTCTTGCGATTAGTGCCACGGTTCGATTCCTCAGCACGGTCGCTGGATCGGCTGGATTCCTGCCCGACCGCGTGCACTTTGCCAGCTGACCGCTTGTCAGTTGCAACCGGAGTTGCCTTCACAGTAGATGCTGACGCATCATCCTCCACTCGGTTGTGCTTATTGATGTGCTGCATTAGCTGGCCCATGGATGTCGGCTGGTGCATGGTAAGCGAGTCCCGCATTCTATGTCCGACCAGGAGACCTCGCTTGTATTGTGTGATCGCAAGGTTGGTCGGGCAATCCAAAATCTCGTTGAAAGTCTCCCAATATCTGGAGTTGTATGCCTTCAATGTGTCGCTCGGCTTCATCTTGACACTCAGGAGGTGATCAACTTCCTTTGGTGTTTTGCTGTTGGTTTTAAAGCGCGTCACAAAGGCTTCGGTCAACTGCTGCCATCTTTCAATGCTCCTGTTCGGCAACTTCTCGAACCATTTCAAACCCAGCTCACCCAAACTCGACGGGAAGAGCAAGCACATAAGAGCGTCATTCCGCCTATGTCCGGCCATGACCTGTCAAAAATGACTTACATACATATACGGGTCGGTTTTTCCGTCATAGAGCGTGAACTTTGGCTGGTGGAAGCCCGCCGGAAGCGGTGCGGTCTCTATATCTACGGAGAATGGAGTGACACTCAGCCTTGCCAAGTCTGTATCTACAAGGAGAGGCGTGGCTGGGCGGGGTAGAGGCATTCCGACCTCCTCGCTCGCGTGAACCCCATAGGATAGCCGCTGGAACACCGGCACCCTTTGAGCCCCCCGCCGGCGAGCCCGTTCCTTCAAAACTGCCTGCAAATCCTCTGAATAAGCAGAATAAGAATACCTCAACGTCGTCGCCGGACGTGAGGGTCGGTAGGTACTATCTTGCGCGCTGGATTTCTCTTCGTGCGCGTCGGAATCTCTAACCTTGTAACTTCTAGTGATTGAGATGGATGGTGTACGCCGTTGGCTCTGACTGCTTGAACGGCGTGGTTGGGTGCGTTCACTGTGGTTGCCCACTCCAGCTACACCCTTCCCTTTAACATGACGCTTCAGCTCCTCCATCTCCGCCGCCATTCACCGGATGAAGGCGTCCTGGTCCCTTAACTTGTGTTCCAAACATCTGGCATGTGATTCTCTCCGCTGCCGATGACCGTCTAGGCTTCGTGAATGACCATAACTTCTTCCGCGCTTATCCCGCGCATCTCTTGAATGTCCTCCTGAAGAAGTCTCTAGGTCCGCCATCGGAGGAACGATGGTGGGATGCCCTTCTCTCCGTCTGCTCGACTCCAGGGTAACTCCGTCGACGGCGGACAGCGGAATCTCTTCGTTGTTCGCCATGGACGGTGATCAAGCGAGCCTGGAAGACAAGGTTTTGTCTGCAGTCTTCCCACAGATGGCGCTAATTGTATGGGGAGCAAATATTCAGGCAAGCCCACACTCCTTGCTTCCGAGCTCCGTTTTTATCCGATCACTTGCGTGCACAACAGCGGTGAGCTACCCGGCGGTGTGTGGCCGGAAAACCTCTCCGACGATCAAGTTAGCACACACCTGAGGATAGATAGAGAGAAGGGAGAGTGTTGTGTGTTTAGTGTATGTCTCACCAAATGTTCGTGCGTCCAGCATGGGGGGCGCAGACTTACTTATATACATTCTGCGCCCCAAATCTACTCCCAGTGATCTCTCGACACGTGGTTCTGCTATCCCATCTGTCAGCACAAATCTTGCTGAACATCACTTAACCCGACGGCCAGCCCACTCTACTGGGAGCTCGGTAGCCGGGCTAAATCTTCTCGGCTGTCGACGGCCATGCTGTATTTCATGCCCAATTACTACAAGAACAGAGATCCTTTCCAGCCATGCTCGGCAGCATTCCGGCGAAGCCGACCTTGAGACTGATCGTACCGGTCAACCAAAGGCCATCCAGCCGGGCTTCTGGCACAAGCTTCTCGGCCGGGCTAACGGTGCGTGCCTTTGACCGAGCAACGCAAGTTGCACGGTTATCACCTACGCAGACCCAAGTGGCTCGGTCCATCTCCGAACAGCCCCGACTCCGGGCGAATCCAAAGTTATCGCGGCCCAAGGCACCATTGGGCCTCCAATTTGCTCGGCCCCTAACTCGGCTCATATCCGGCTCATAATTCTCCCTCTCAACACCAAAACAGTTTTTCAGATTGTTCTCTAAAACAAAATGGTAAATGTAATAAAAAATAAAATAAAAAGATATCTCATTTTTAATAATATTTTGAAGAGTTTTCAATAGTATTTTTAATGGAGGTTCAATAAAATCTTTAATAGAGAATTTTGTCTTTACTTCACTTTACATTGTAGTTTTGAATGATCTTCACGTAGATTAATAATAGGTCTACAAATATAAAAGCGGGGTCACCCAACAATTGTGTGGAAAAGATGACTGAGTGGGCATTTGGGGTGGCTTCTATGCGGAGTCACTCAACAATTGTGTGGAAAATATGATTGAGTGGGGATTTGGAGTGGCTACTATGCGGAGTGCACAGTAACCATTGTTGTACATTCAAATTGGCCTATTTTCACAGTTTACAATACATCAAGTAGAACATATCTGTAAAAAATCAAGTTAATCGGATATCGTTTATCCATTCATCCACTCACATTTGTATCTATAAAAATAAATAGCAATTGTGATTTTAAGTATTAAAATGAATACAAATGTAAGTGGATGAAAGGGTAAACGATATCCGATTAACTTAATTTCTTGTAAGTATGTTCTACTTAATATATTCTAAAATGTGAACGGTTCGGATTATCGAAGTAGGCCCGAAAGGGGCCCATTTGACTGCACAACTGTGGCTGTTGTGCACCCCCGCACAGCAACCATCCCAAATCCAGTTGAGTGGTATGTGTATACAATAATTATGAGTGAACGGTATAATTGTAACTTTTAATTTGTGGATTGAGAAAATTAATTAATAATGAAATTAATAAGTGTGTGTATACTGAGAAAATATATGCACCAAGTAATTAAGTGTGTGGAAATAAAATTTCCCTAGTGTGTTTCATCAATCTAAAAATACTTCGTTTAAAATTACACTTTACAATTTATGATTTTTTCCCATCTAAAACAAAGTTTCACTTCAAAAAATAAATAAATAAATAAAATTACATTTGCCATGTTATAATTTTATAAGAGGATTAATTTCACTATTTATTCTAAAATAAATGTTCATGATTTTGTGTATTTTGTTTATCAATTATCAATTTGATCTATGTTCATTCTTACACTATTAATTTATTATTAATCAATTTGGCCAATTACAAATGTATGATAAAATGAATAATTAAAATAGATGACGAAAAAATCGCTAACTTCATGATATAAGCCTTCGTTTTTCGTTTTTTCTTTTTTTGACAAAATAAATATTTTACGTTATAGTAAAAAAGAAAAG